CCAATAAACTTTAAAGTTTGACAAATTGTATTTATTTACACTATAAAGATAGCACAGTGTTATTTTACATTTGATTTAATATTGAATTTCTGTTCTTCAGGGCTGTTAGGGTCCACAGAAAACCATAAATACATCACAATTATTTTTGTGGTTCTATTGTACTCCTCTGCTTGCAAATTGTTCATTATGTTTAATGAAGATGTAGGAATTGTAGGAGTTACTTAGGTTATCTTTTGTGAAATTAAACTTGTACTGCAAACATATATATATTAGGGATGCAACAATACAGTTAGTCCACAGTTCAATTCATGCCTTGGTTTTTTTAACACGGTTTTCGGTTCGGTTCTCATGGCTTGGCACGTGTGATTTCTATAGGCAATAGGAACAGTAAGAGGTTAAGGAGAAAAAAACATTCCACAGCGGAATGAACCACCAACTTATCCAGCAAGTTTTTACGCAGCGGATGCCCTTCCAGCCGCAACCCATCTCTGGGAAACATACACACACACACACATTCACACACTATGGACAATTTAGCCTACCCAATTCACCTGTACCGCATGTATTTGGACTGTGGGGGAAACCGGAGCACCCGGAGCAAACCCACGCGAAGGCAGGGAGAACATGCAAACTCCACACAGAAACGCCCACTTAGCCGAGGTTCGAACCAGCGACCTTCTTGCTGTGAGGCGACAGCACTACCTACTGCGCCACTGCCTCGCCAGACTTTAATATTTTATATTAGGGTAAATTGTTTTGTTCATTTGTTTTGTTCATTTCGACACCTAAAAAGAAAGATCAACATTGCTTCATGATCTGGGGTCCGTTCTTCGTACCTCGCTTAAATGATCTAAGATGATTTGGCAGATCCTGGATCTTTTAATCTTGATAACTGATCTCTCGCTAATTTGGTTCTCCAAACAAGTTCGCGAATCAGATTAGAATATCTGGATGTACTGATCTGAGATCGCTGCGTTTGTTGTTAAGGACAGATCTATCGATCCTAGAAATCATGATCAGCAATGCAACGATTGGCTGACGGCACAGCAGCGTAATGACATCATCTGATTAATATTCAATTATCCATGTGAGCAAAATTACATCAAATTAGCAGTAAACGGCTTGTTAAATATGACACGCAGTAACTTCACATTTGTTGTGAGCTGCAGGCTTTACACTTTCATTTGTCAAGACAAGAGTATTCATCATGTATTTCAATGCAAATCAATGTATTTAGTTCTTCATTTAGAAAAGATTTTCTTTATTATAGTAACCGTTTTTTAATCGGTGTAAAGAATAACTGGTTGTTTCCAAAAGCATTTTGATATTGGTAAAGGCGTCTGCAACTTTTGTGAAGCATCACTGGCATATTAACTGTCAAAACATGTTTATGACTGCATAAATGTATTATTGCTTTTAAAAAAAGTCACATATTGTGCATTTCTATTATACACAATTTGTACTAAAGCGATCTAAAAAGTTCATATCAATAAGTTTTCTCTTTGCACCACCAGGTGGCAGTCTTTGTATTTTCATTTCGAGGGTGCAGATTGCATATGTTTTATTAATATGTATAACTTTATTTATTTTATTAATGACTATAACTTTATATATATATAGTTAAAAAAATACTATTTTCCCAAGTGTATATAACTTTTACTGTAAGAAAATATCAGAACTCGGTACATACTTTCTGTATTATCTTTGCTTGAACTGAGCCGATCTAATCCTGTTTATATGATTTGAACCTGCTCCTGATCAGGTTTGACCTAGCAGATCTGTTGCCATGACAACAACTCTCGGATCAGCTTTGAAGAACGAAACGATCCTGGATCGTGTCAAATCGTCAATATCCAAATCCAGCTAACTGAGTAATCCACGTACGAAGAACGGACCCCTGACTACAGTGCCGGTGTTGTGACAAGAAATGCACTCCTGCACAGACCCCTTTCATAGACTTTCTTTAGCATTCTTAGTCTACATTTAAAAAAAATAAAAGCCTCAAAGGCCATAAATGATTCAAACATAGGCTAATATGATTCTTATGTTGGTGGATCAAGCAACAACAAGAAGTGAACTGCATTTTAAATCTAGGTTTACAAATAAATGAAAAATAAAAATGCAGACAGTATTATAGACTGATGTATTGAGCCGGTATCTAAAATTCAGCATTTTTGGTGGGTCTTAAACAAACAAAATTGGTTTTATTAGTTATTGTTGCAGATTCATCTTTTTATGCATCAACACAGCTGAAATAAAGCAGACTTAATGATGATGTTGTGCATTATGTAGCATGTATTGCATGCAATGGGCCAGAGATGCATTTTAAACAATTACTCTGTTTTTGATTTAAAGAGCCCATATTATACATGAAATAGGGTCATATCTTGGTTGTGAGGGTCTCCAACAACAGTTTAATATGCATGCAAGGTCAAAAAACACTTTCATGGTCTTATAATCTGCATTTATTTTTACCTAATTATCCCAGCGACTCCTGTATGAATCGTCCAGTGATTCATTTGTTCCCAAACCCCTCCTCAGCGCAAAGCTAATCTGCGCTGATTGGACCAATGACAGTCTGTTGCGATTGGTCGATTGCCTTCAGTGAGAGAGTGAAATGCCCAATAGCTAATCAGCAATATAAAAGTAATCACAGTTCATACACGCTCGATAGTGTAGGCGTGGATTTTAGCTGCCAGTGGGTCAATGTAAATACAGACTATGGACTTGAAAATACAGACGTCTATCTATTTTATTGAGCAAAAAGAGTTGAAGAGATCTTCTAGCTTGTCTCACTCTGCTATTTTCACAGACACACACACACACACACACACAAACACTTAACCCTGCTCCGGACGACAACGCGCGCACACACACACAAACACACACCTCCGGACGACAGCGCACACACACACACACACACACACACACACACACACTACCCTCCTCCACGGAGCTCCGTAAACAAAGGCAAAGCAGCACGCGTCGCGTTTTAAACGGCTTTGCACCCGATATGAGAATATATCCAGTTAACCTGATACAGTACACACGCTTACAAGTAATAAATCACAACTAAATACATTTGCAAGCTAGAGTCAACGAGGCAACTTTAATCGCTCGTGCTTACACTTGAGAAATGGAGGAAGAAACCCATCCTGACATGTCCAGCAGTAAGTTAGTCTTTACTGATCCTTCCTTTAACAAACGCAGATGAACTATTCTTTTTTAGCATGAAGTTTCCAGTAGTTTCCAACTGCTTGGTTATAGTGCTGACATTTCATCTTTGGGTAGAGACTCGATAATATCCATCTGCAGTGTGACTTCAGTCGACCGGCATGTTTGTTTGTGTGTGTGTGTTTGTGGGTGTGTGTGTGTGTGGGTATCTGTGTCAGAGGGCGGGGCCACATGTTTGAAATCTCCCGGGTTTGCGCGTGCACGTGAATAACTTGGTTTCGTTCCTACGTAATGGCAAAACACCTAATGACTCGGTATCAAGGCGACTCGTTTGAAGCACTATGAGTCGACTCTTTTATAGATGAATCACCAGTTTTAAACACTGTATTCTTACAGATTTAAGCCTTAGCAGGATACTTCACTTCAATTAGAGCTGTGTTACAAACTACATGGAAGGGCATTTTCAAAAACCCATAATATGGGCTCTTTAATGTGTGCTTTATTATTTGTGTTTGGGACTCTTTTGCTTAAATGAGGTCCTGTTGGCATTTCTGATGGGCAAATAGTAATTTTTGTTACAGGAATGACAAGATGAAGACCATGAAACATAGTTTATTAGAATGTGAACGTTTAATTACAAGTAGACAAGATTTTTATAATGGAAACACTTTAATAGATGTTTTTTTAAAAGGTATCACCATCAAGAGTTTAAAGTTATTAATCAAATATTTAACTTTTTAATATACATTTTTTGTTAATTTTAGTTATTTATTTGTATTTATAATTGTTTGTGTATCATCTCTTATTGAAATAAGAAGTTGAACTCATCATGTAATGTTATGTATATTGATCTTAGTAGTAGTTTGACTTTATTAATCCCCGGAGGGAAATTCACATGTCACAGCAGAGCTCTCCATACTAAAAATAGATAAATAAGTTGCATACATATAAAAACAATAGTAAAATTACATTTCATACTGCACACCTTGGTTCCAAAAACAACGAGTAAACACTTGTACATATCCAATATCTAATTCAAGTTCAGCAAAATTAATCTGGTATGACTTTGCTTATACAATCTTGCTGAAGTTGCTGATGTGGCAATGCTCCTGTGAAAATTGTAATTCTTTTTTAAGTATTTCCCAAGAGTTGTTTAATGGAGAGAGGGTTTTTACAACACATTTTATTGTAGGTTTAATAACTAATATCTTTACCATGATGACAGTGAATAATAATGTGCAAGAAACTGTTTATTTAAAGGCTTAACTAGGTTAATTAGTTTAACTAGGAAAATTAGGTTAATTAGACAAGTCACTGGACAACAGTGGTTTGTTCTGTAGGCAATAAAAAAACACATTTCTGTCGGCACCAGTAGCCTAGTGGTTAGTGCGTGGACACAGCACTGAGGTGGTCCCGGTGACCCAAGTCCTTTGTCGACCCTTCCCCCATCTCTGCTCCCCATACTTTTCTGTCTGTAAATCTCCACTGTCCTATCACAATAAAAGGTTACCAACCCCTAAAAAACAATTATTAAAAAAAAACACTTATTAAGAGGTCTAATAATATTGACCTTAGCAGTTATTATTATTTTAAATGTTCCTTTTTTATTCCAGCCAAACTAAAAAAAATAAGACTTTCGCCAGAATACAAATATAATAGGAAATACTGTCATACATGTTCTCGCTTGGTTATTAAACATCACTTGATAAATATTTGAAAAAGATTTAAAATTACCTTGGATGGCTTGTAATTTTGTCTTTAACTGTACTTGCTGCATCATTTACAAACCTGCTCTATATGAATACATTATTGTTTACATCATGCAGGTAAATGGAGTAAAAAACAAAGCCAATGGCCTCGGAAAATCTCTCAATGATTCGCTTGAAGGAGACCTCAGGGACTTCCTCATCAATGAAGCTGAGCTTCACACATACGATGACCTCACCAAAGTCAACCCGGTTACACCTTCTACAGGTACAAGCCTAGGCTGGAGCTTGGTTTCTGATTCATCTTATGCTCTGTCACCATGCATTTTCTACTGTTATTCACAGAGATGCTTTAGTACAGGGGTGGCCAACCCTGTTCCTGGATAGCCACCTTCCTGCACATTTCAGTTGCAGCCCATATCAAACACACCTGCCTGTAATTATCACATGGTGTTTAGGTCCTAATTCATTGGTTCAGGTGTGTTTGATATGGGTAGCAACTGAAATTTGTCAAAGTCTGGGTTAGAACCCGGGTCTCCGGCGTGAGATGTTGATCTCTAACTCACGGAGCCAAATAGGACCCAAACCACAAAAGGAACTTTCTTCTTAGGAGGAATTTATTGATGGCAAAAAAACACTTCAAATAGAAGATAAAGTTAGAGCAGACAAAAACAGAGACTTTTCCAATTTCCAAAAAATAATAAAATGCAAAAAAACTCAAAAGGGCAAAAAACTCAGGATCAGTAACTGCTCAAAAATACACCAAAAACATAGGTCAGAGAAACTTGGCAAAAGAGATTATCTTTCAAATGTAAGAACTCACAGAGGGCGACAGGCTAGGATCCGCAATAACTGAGCAAAGAACTACGGAACTGAGGCTACTTAAATACAAACAACTAAACAAGGCACATGAGAAATCAATAACGTTGATTACAAATACAAAAAAAAACAAAGAACGAAATGAAGACATCTAGTGGTAAAGAAAAACATTACAAGGAAAAAAACAAAAATAACATGGGGCAAAATCCTGACAGAAATCTGCAGGGGTCCGTTCTTCGTACGTGGATTACTCGGTTAGCTGGATTTGGATATTGACGATTTGACATGATCCAGGATCGATTCGTTCTTCAAAGCTGATCCGAGAGTTGTTGTCATAGCAACAGTTCTGCTAGGTCAAACCTGATTGGGGGCAGGTTCAATTCATATAAACAGGATTAGATCGGCTCAGTTCAAGCAAAGATAATACAGAAAGTATGTACCGAATTCTGATATTTTCTTACAGTAGTAGTTATATACACTTGGGGAAATGGTACATATTTTTTAACTATATATATATATATATAAAGTTATAGTCATTAATAAAATAAATAAAGTCATACATATTAATAAAACGTATCCAATCTGCACCCTCGAAATGAAAGTACAAAGACTGCCACCTGGTGGTGCAAAGAGAAAACTTATTGATATGAACTTTTTAGATCGCTTTAGTACAAATTGTGTATAATAGAAATGCAGAATATGTCACTTTTTTTAAAAGCAATAATACATTTATGCAGTCATAAACATGTTTGGATAGTTAATATGCCGGTGATTTGATGCTACAAAAGTTGCAGACGCCTTTACCAATATGAAAATGCTTTTGTAAACAACCAGTTATTCTTTACACCGATTAAAAAACGGCTACTATAATAAAGAAAATCTTTTCTAAATGTAGAATTAAATACATTGATTTGCATTGAAATACATGATGAATACTCTTGACACATGAAAGTGTAAAGCCTGCAGCTCACAACAAATGTGGAAGGTTATTGAGAGTCATAATTAACAAACCGTTTACTGCTAATTTGATGTAATTTTGCTCACATGGATAATTGAATATTAATCAGATGATGTCATTACGCTGCTGTGCCGTCAGCCAATCGCTGCATTGCTGATCATGATTTCGAGGATCGATAGATCTGTCCTTCACAACAAACGCAGCGATCTCAGATCAGTTCATCCAGATATTCTAATCTGATTCGCGAACTTGTTTGAAGAACCAAATTATCGAGAGATCAGTTATCGATATTAAAAGATCCAGGATCTGCCAAATAATCTTAGATCATTTAAGCGAGGTACGAAGAACGGACCCTAGGATGGTGGCTCTCCAGGAACAGGGTTGGCCACCCCTGCGTTTAGTACATACCAGGGCTGTTAAAAGTATTGACTTCAGTACCAATCAGTATTGAAATGTTGAGTGCTGAGCACATCATCACATTTGCACTACAATATCTTGCAATATGTCATATATGTTAGTGTTACAAACCCCTGATGTCAATCTAGGGGATAGTGGGGTTTGACATTTTATTTATTTAAAATATATTTATATAAACAGTGAATGAGTGCAAAAGACAACCAAAGTAATGCCAAAAAATGTGTGCTTTTATTTACAATTCCCAAAGTGAACAACAACAACGAATTAATCAAAAATAAAGAAAGTAAGTAAGGCAAAAATATACTATTTACAATATATACAACACTGAGACAAATAAAGACAGGGAAAAAAAACAAGAGAGCTGGCAGAAGGGTCTTCCCAGAAGCATCTAGCTAACTAACTATGTGAAAAAAAGTTTAATTAACACGCGGAGATCTTCCGAGTCTTAACTATCTACTCTATCTAGCTATCCAAAAAGTACAAGGAGTGGCGCTCACCCCTAACCTAGTGTACTAAACAGCAGAGTAGTCCTATGTGTTGCAATGTAAGTCACGTGACCTTCTTACCTGTCCGCTTCGTCCAAGCCTCGTAAACAACGTAAACTAAGAATGATGTACGAATAACGGACGGATAACGTGCACACAGAAACGAGCAACAACAAAAACACAGTTAGACGGGTTATTTCTAAACGCACACGATAAATACAAACAAGCGACAAAAGCAGAGAAAGAGAAAAATGCAAGGGACTGGTCTTTGCTTATTGGATGTGACGTAAAAGTGACGTAACCGGGAAGGAATGACTGACAGCTGAATGGACCAATGAACGGAACCTGAGAATACATGAGAGAGAGAGAGAGGGAAAAAACCCAGAGAGAAACAGAGCACAAATAACACAAATACATAACAATAAAACACTGTTTATTTCATTTGCATCTTTTTCTTTATTGCATTTATTTATGCTTGTAGATTGTTTGTTATGTTTTATGCAGATGCACTCCTCTACAGAATCATCCCAATCAGTCTAAAATGATATATTCTTTCCAAATAGAGCCATTGAAATCATCTGGTGAAATTGTACTCGTATCGCAATATATATCACAGAAAAGCTAAATATCACAGTGTCTGATTTTCCCAATATCATGCAGCCCTTGTCTATAAGTGCATAGTGTGTGATTTGTGATGCAACTTGATCAGTGTTTAATAAGAGCAGTGTTTTGTGTTTGTCAGTGCTGAAATGTCTGCAGGCCAGGTACAGCGCCAAGGTTTTCTACACACACGCTGGCTGCACGCTAGTCGCCCTCAACCCCTTCCAGCCCATTCCTCACCTGTACTCTCTGGATGTGATGAGGGAATATCACTCTGCCCCTCAGCCTCAGGTAAAGACTAAAGTACATCAAAATGTAAAATTAGGTACCAAATGTTCAATTCGATTCAATTCAGCTTTATTTGTATAGCGCTTTTGCATTGTAGATTGTGTCAAAGCAGCTTCACATAAATGGTCATAGTAACTGGATCAGGGTAGTTCAGTTCAGTTCAGTTTAGCTCAGTTCAGTGTGGTTTAAAGTCATTACTGAGAGTCCAAGCACTGAAGGGCAAATTCATCAATGCATAGCTCTACCAATCCTGAACCATGCAAGCCAGTGACGACAGCGGAAAGAAACAAACTTCACCAATAGGAGAGTGATGAAAAAAAACCTTGAGACAAACCAGACTCCGTTTGGCACGACCATTTTAATTTCTCCGCTGGCTAAAAGTCTTGTGCAGAGCTGCAGTCTCAGCAGCGGAGGCTGGAAGTTAGGCTCAGCAAAGACTCGTCTGTTCCTGGAGCGTCACAGGAATCAGTCTCATGCTCTCCATTCCCCCATGACCACCACAGCAGCTGCTCAGGATACGGCCTAGTCCAGGATATGGAAACCTTGGGATCATCTCGTCGCTGGTCTTGGATCCAGTCAGTGACTCCGCATAATCTGAGGACCTCGGGATGAGTATCCCCAGGTGGAAATGAAGAAAAAAGAGAGAATAATTAGCCTAGCTGCTGTTCATAGTGTACATAACAGATAGGTCTTTAATCTAGTTTTGAACTGCGAGAGTGTGTCTGAGCCTCGGATGTTATTAGGAAGGCTATTCCAGAGTTTAGGAGCCATATATGAAAAGGCTCGACCTCCTTTACTCGACTTCTTTACTTAGAAGCCCTGAGTTTTGAGATCTTAAAGAGCGAGTTGGATTGTAGCGAGACAGAAGGTTGGTTAGATAAACAGGAGCTAGATTATTTAGAGCTTTTGTAATTGTAATTGTAATGTAATGTGTATTTATATAGCGCATTTTTTGTATATGGCCATACATCCAAAGCGCTTTACGATCATGAAGGGGGGGTCATAATCGTAATTGTAGAGCTTTTGTAATTGTAATTGTAGAGCTTATGTAATTGTAAAAATATTGTAATAAAGAAGAAGCTGTCCAACACTTGTGTACCTTTTTATGAGAACAATTGTGTACCTTAATTTCAATTGTAGCATAAAAGGTACAGAACAGCATCATAAGAGGTCTTTTCTGTACCATATAGGGTGCAACTTTTACAAAGGTAAAAAACTGTTTCTTAAGGAACATTATTTGTACCACTGTGTACCTTTTTTCTGAGAGTGTAGGAACGGTGTAACTGAAAATTTTAGCAGTTTTAAAATCTTGACTTTTCTAAACCTTGAAACTGGTTATTATCCTATGCCTATTGTGAGTGTGTGTATATATATATATATATATATGTGTGTGTGTGTGTGTGTGTGTGTGTGTGTGTGTGTGTGTGTGTGTGTGTGTGTGTGTGTGTATATATATATATATATATATATATATATATATATATTAGGGATGTAACGGTATTGTAAATACCGTCATACCGCAATATGAATTTTTTTCGATATTACCGAAGTCGCATGACTCGGTAAAACTATAGGTCTTCTGAGAAAATTTGCTCAGGCGAATGAAGCGAACGGGAGGTAACGAAAACTACAATTGCCATCAGCCCATGCTTGACCATCATCCCTTGCGGTCTGTTGTTGCTACAGATCCAGTAATGCGGAAATGGAGTGTGCTGCTAGAAGCGGGGATGAAAAGAGCTGGAAAACTCTAAAGCAGGTCGCACACCAGAAGCGCCGCTCGGCGCCGCGACACGGCGTGTACATGACAGATTAAAGTATCACACACCAGACGCGCACATTCGAATGATATTTAACATGAAACTAATCAGATGGCGCTCTGTGGCGCGGCTGAAAAATGAACTGCGTCCTAAGCCGTCGCCGGGCGCCGCCGACAGCCGCCGACAGCCGCCGACTTGCGGCGCCGGTGTGTGTATCCTGATAGAACTTTTGTTTAGAATTCTAAAATACATGGCGCTGCGTGGTGCTGCGCGGCGCGCCGCCGAGCGTCGCTTCTGGTGTGCGACCTGCTTTACACGCACAGTTCAGTCCTGCATTATCTCCGTGTAAGTTCAGACTTCGCAAGTTTGATCAAGGCTGCAGTCTCTTCTTCTCAGTTTGATATGGAAAAGCAGATTATACCGAGGAGACGGGTAAATCTTCAAAGGGAACAGTGTACTTTATAACTTCATTCACATCACCCTGGCTTCGTTGTTTCACTTTCTCAACAATAAACTGTAAACATGATTTAAGGAACTGCCTATTTTCATTTTTAATATTAGCAACTTAGACAGCAGAAATGTTGAGGCGCCGTGCTGCATAAGATGAGCGTCATCTTCACTGTATGGATATTTATAACAAAACGGAGCCTATAACAACTGCCTCCTTTCAATTTCAGTGAAAATACGAAACACAGCCTCTCTTTTGCTGAGTATCAGTTTTAATAATCGATAATGGCCATTTTAAAAGTATAACATACAATAAGTTTATACATTATAGGAAATAAAGGCAAGCGATCAGTCAATATACAGAATGTACGTGGTTACATTAATCATTAACTTATCTTTGCGCTCAGCCAAAACACGTTACCTGAGAACAAGTAATAGATTCCAATGCCCAAAGTCAGGGAATATGTCGTTAGATAAAGACAACAAGATAAATGAAATATCCCGTTTAATAAATATAGTGAGATAGATCCAGCGGGAGATGCTTGATGAGAAGTCCGACTAGCAGAGCTCTCATCTGGGTAGATGGGCTGAGTGTGATTAAATGTTGAATGTGATGAGTTTTCAACAATACTAAATTGAAACTTTATTTTTTTACATGGTTTAATAATTTTTTGTTATTAAAATTGAAGTTCCTGTTTCAAAGCTTACAGATAGATGGCTAATTTGTATGTCATTGGCACTTTTGGCACTTTTTTGGAGTATTTTCATAAGTTTTGTTTTTTCCTGTAAATGATTCAATAAATACCGTACCGTGACATTCATACCGAGGTATTACCGTACCGTGAAATTCTGATACCGTTACATCCCTAATATATATATATATATATATATATATATATATATATGTGTGTGTGTGTGTGTGTGTTTATGT